GGTTGGTTACTTTACCAGGGAAACCCAGAACCAACACCAGGGTAAAGGGTGCCACTGGGCTGCCAAGAGTCAGGCGGTCGCATCTCCTGCGCCACCTGATGGGCAACATGGCTGACGCTGCCTCCTCGCGAGACTCCGGCAGGCGGGTCGTCCCAGTCGATGTGTGTTATGGAAAGCTCCTCTACACAAGGGCGGCCAGTGCGGAAGAAGCGCTCTATCAGGTGTTCCATGTCCACGCCAAGCAAGTCGGTGAGCTGCAAAGTGAGGTAGGTGACCCCCTCCAGCTCACTCAAAATGCGCACCCTGACGGCCTGTCCCACATCTAACGTTCCTTCCTGCAGGGGCCGCTGCAAGCGACCAGCATCCCTCGCATGGCAGAGCCCGGTTCTCTCGGTTCTCTCAGGACTGTCTGGCCTCGCCGGGATCTCAAAGGTCACGTAAAAAAACTCTCCGTCCGGATCTATCTCTGAAACCTCCCCGTCGTAGATCTGCAGCTGGAAAGCTCTGCGGAACTCCGACAAGTTAGCTGTCTGCAGCTGGCTGTCGGGACGCAAACGCGCTGGGCGTTCTGCACGGATCCGAGTGACCTTCACCATGTACTTGGATGCAGCTGTCCGGAAACCTGGAACCCGCGCCACCTCATTCAAGTGCACAAGGTTGTCTGTCAGAAAGGCCTCCTGCAATTTGGCCACCTCCTGCTCACGGAACCTGCGCTGCTCTGGCAACACATTAGCATGAGCACATGCCATGACAAACTCGTCGTTGCCGTTGCGCACATCTTCGGGCGAGAACCACTCTGAGTGACGCTCTGGACCAGTGGTCTTGCCAAGAAAGTGGGAGCCATCCAACGACCTCTGCAGCACATCAATGTAGGTCATGTAGGTTGCGCGGACATTGCCGTAGGACGGCCGCAAAACTCTCAAGGGCTCGCCCACGATAGGAGCAACTGCATCGCCAGGATTCAAACGACGGCCATCCCGCGCCATCTGCCGGATGCTGTACGGCTTCTGTATTAACCCGGCTTCGGATCCGATAAGCTGGCAGCAACCGCTCTTCGTTGCTATTGCTAAGTGGAGTTGACCTACTTCAAGGATCAGGGGACTTAGTCAGTGGGTTATGAGCAAGGTAGCTATACTTATCATTTCTTATGAGCCCAATTAAGGTACTTATAACCCTACTTGCTAAGTGCCCCGATCCTCCAAGTAGTGTTTCACGTGCTGCGGCGAGTTGCCAGGAAATCTAGTTTCACAACGAAGGCACTTCCCTAAACCTTAAACCCTATACCCTAAACCCTAAGCCCTAAACCCTAAACCCTAAACCCTAAACCCTAAACCCTAAACCCTAAACCCTAAACCCTAAACATCAAAGCTCGAAATCCAGCAGAGCAGGGAGGTGACGCGCCTTATGGCAGCCGTGGTGCCTGCGCCCAAACCTTAAACCCTGAATACTATTGAGGGTTTAGGGTTTAGGGTTTAGGGTTTAGGGTTTAGGGTTTAGGGTTTAGGGTTTAGGGTTTAGGGTTTAGGGTTTAGGGTTTAGGGTCTAGGGTTTAGGGTTTAGGGTTTAAGGTATAGGGTTTAGGGTTTAGGGTTTAGGGTAAATGCAGGAACCATCAGCCAAGCTTCCATAACGGCTTCAGATGCCGCCAAGATGTGAGGATGACATAGTCGGAGCACGTCTTGTCCTCTGTATCCAAGTCTAGGGTTTAGGGTTTAGGGTTTAGGGTTTAGGGCTTAGGGCTTAGGGTTTAGGGTTTAGGGTTTAGGGTTTAGGGTTTAGGGTTTAGGGTTTAGGGTTTAGGGTTTAGGGTTTAGGGTAACCCAGGATAAAAAAGGGTACCCTTTTTGCTTAAAGGGGTTTATCAGGGAACCTAACCCCCCCAAAAAAAGTGAATAAGGGCACTACTGGGCATCCTAGAACTGCTTAGGGCTTTAGGCGTTAGGGGCTTTTACAGGGCTTTTATAGGGCTTTAGGCTTTTAAGATCGGTTGGGGTTCAGGGTTCAGGGTTTAGGGTTCAGGGTTCAGGGTTCAGGGTTCAGGGTTTAGGGTTCAGGGTTTAGGGTTTAGGACTTAGGGCCTAGGGTTTTAGCCCGAAGCTCGCCTGGCTTTCCCTTTAACTGTAGCAGGGCCCAAGGCAGCTTGCCGGTCCATGCCGGCCCTGTACCACCCTCTTCGGGGTTAGGGTTTAGGATTTAGGGTTTAGGGTTTAGGGTTTAGGGTTTAGGGTTTAGGGTTTAGGTTTTAGGGTTTAGGTTTTAGGGTTTAGGGTTTAGGGTTTAGGGTTTAGGGTTTAGGGTTTAGGGTTTAGGGTTTAGGGTTTAGGGTTTAGGGTTTAGGGTTTAGGGTTTAGGGTTAGGTGTCTTTTATGGACCTATATGTTCCCCCCTACTAAGTGTCCTTAAGGGATTATAGCACCTCCTACTACAATCCCTATGCTAGTACATCCCAACCTATATGGATTTACACATGGAAGCCGAATGTCCAAAACACCCAAAAACCCTAAACTCCCCAACTTACCAATCCCTGAATCCTTAACATTGAACCCTAAACCCCGACCCCTAAAGCCTCAACCCTAGACCCCCGAAATCCTAAACCCTAAACTTCCTGACTGCTACACCCGAAACCCTAAACTCCGCACATCCTAAACCCTAAAGCCTCAACCCTAAACTCCCTAAATCCTAAACCCTAAACCCCAAACTCCCCTAAACTCCCCTAAACTCCCTAAATCCTAAACCCTAAACCCTACACGCCCTAAATCCTACACCCTAAGCCTAAACCCTAAACCCTAAACTCCCCACATCCTAAACCTAAAGCCTATGTCATAGGCTATTGCCGAGACCAGGATTCCATTGGCTTCAGCAGCCATTGCTCGAGATGTTTCACCTCTGTGCGAGTCATGTCATGGTCTCTGAAAAGTTTAGGGTTTAGGGTTTAGGGTTTAGGGTTTTGGGTTTGGGGTTTGGGGTTTGGGGTTTGGGGTTTGGAATTTGGGGTTTCGGGCTTGGCATGTAGGCATTTGGGTTTATTCGCTAGGCAGCGTCCAAAACCTATTGCCTAAGCCAAGTTGGGATGAAGGCGTAGGGTCGGGGTCTAGTAAGGAAACCCTGGACCTAAGCCCTGCACCCGCAGAGCCTCTTAACCTAACTTTGAACCCTAAACTCAACCCTAAACTCAAACCCTAAGACCCTAGACCCTAGACCGTAGACCCTAAACCCAAAAACTCAGGTTGGACCCAACAGCACCGAAAACCCTCATTCTCAAAGCACCCAGGCTCCACGCTGCCGTCACCCGGCTCTATGAAGGTTTAGGTGCTCAGGTCTTTAGGGTTAAGGGTTTAGGGTTTAGGGTTTAGGGTTTAGGGTTTAGGGTTTAGGGTTTAGGGTTTAGGGTTTAGGGTTTAGGGTTTAGGTTTAGGGTTTAGGGGTTAGGGGTTAGGGTTTAGGGGTTAGGGGTCAGGGGTTAGGGGTTACAAGCGTTAAGGGTTTTGGGCTTTTGAGGCCTTCGGCAGGCCAAAGAAGTGGTGGAGTGGAGGGACATGTAGGCTTGTCTCCCTCTTGCATCAAGTCGGAAGCCTGGCACCCCTTGAGGCTTCAAGAGTAAGAACCCTAAGCCCCTTAACCCTAGCCCTAAACCCTAAACCCTAAACCCTAAACCCCAAACCCGAAAACCTAAACCATAAGACCTGAAACCCAACCTTAAAGACCTAGAGCGCCGAAAAGGAAACCAACCGGAGAACCATCAAGCATTCCAACCCTACAAAACTAGCCTTCCCTGAACACCTCCAAATACCAAATTTCGCCAGGGGTTATCTAAGGTTTAGGGCTTAGGGTTTTAGCTTCAGGGTTTAGGGTTTGAGTCTGGAGTATGAAGTTTATGGGTTTCCGAAAGCCATACAGCAAACTTGCACGCGCAAAGGCCTCAAAACCCCAAACCATGAACCCCGCAGGAAGGCCTGCTTCATCATCTGTACCACACCGCCTGCATGCTCGGAGGGGAATGAGATGCGGAACTTGTTCTACTGGGGTTAGGGTAAAGGGTGCCCTAAACCCTAAACCCTAAACCCTAAACCCCAAACCCGAAACCCTAAACCCTAAACCGGGTGCCATTGCAGGTAGGTTGTCCAATCAAACTAGGATATAAGCAACCGTCCAGACTTCAGGGGCGCTGGGGTTTTTGAGCACAGGTCAAAAGGTCGGTTTCAGGCTTTGCAGCTTCAGTTGCAGGCTACTTTCGGATGACATGCAGCCAAGTTCCGGAGTGCCGTCTAAGGCGTTTGGAGGTAAAAGGAGAATCCTAAACCCTAAACCCTAAAACCTAAACCCTAAACCCTAAACCCCTTTCACGGTTCGTGGTCTGCTACCATGTCTGACCGAGGGTTCGGAGAAGAGGAGCTTCTACTTGCCGGCTCTTCTGTGCCTGCACAACCTCTCCTGAAGGCCCTTCCCTGAATCTTCAAGGTTGCAGGGTTGCAGGTTTACCCTAAACTAGAAATCCTAAACCCCAAACCCTAAGCCCTAAACCCTAAACCCGAAACCCCAATCCTCAATCCCTCCCTGAACCCCTAAACCCTAGGAAATCCTTACCTTCAGAAGCCTTTGGCTGCTCTCCCCCCCCCCCCCCCCCCCCCCCCCCCCCCACACCCACACCCACTTCTAGCCATGCCTTTGACCCCCGAAAGCAGACCCTGCAAGACTCCCGAGACTTGGAGAAAGGTCGAGGGAAACGTTCTTGATCTTCTGAATGGGCTCAGGGTTTAGGGTTTAGGGTTCAGGGTTCAGGGTTCAGGGTTCAGGGTTCAGGGTTTAGGGTTTAGAGTTTAGGGTTTAGGATTTAGGGTTTCGGGTTTAGGGTTTTTGGTTTAGGGTTTAGGGTTTAGGGTTTAGGGTCTCCTGAAGCAGCCGTTGTTCATAAAAAGCTGTGGGGCCAGCTGCTGCTTGCACAGAGGAATTGCTATGTTCGTCTGGCCCGAAGGCATCCACCCGCTCCAGAAACCGGCTGCAAGTCGTAAGGCTTAGGGGGTTTAGGGTTTAGGGTTTAGGGTTTAGGGTTTAGGGTTTAGGGTTCAGGGTTCAGGGTTCAGGGTTCAGGGCTTTGGGTCTGGGACGTTCGAGTTGAGGGCTTTCGGGATAGCGGCTTAGGTTTAGGGAATGAAGTCTACTTGAAGTTTCGGGGGTAGTCATGAAGTCGTCGGCACCCTAAGCAAGGTGCTCACACTTCGGACTACAACCCTGTGACTTGTAAGCCCAGCTTTAACTAATGTACCCATGAAGCTCCAAGAAGGGTTTAGGGCAAGCCCGAAACCCCACACCCTAAACTCTAAACCCGGGCGTTCTCCATGACCCACGTGCCTCGTGACTTCACTTCAGCCATCAGAGAGGTTCGCCTCAAAGGTTTAGGGCTTTTAGTAAGAGTTTAGGGTTTTGGGTTCAGGGCTTAGGGTTTCGGGTTTAGGGACAATCAGCCTCCCTTCCATGTGCATGCGAACCTCTGCAGCAACTTGATTTTCTCCAGCAGGTGAAATTGCCAGTGTCCAGGAATGCGAAGGGTTTCCTTCTCCCTAATCCCAAAACCCCAAAACCCTGAAGCCTCTGTAGCATAATTTATAAACCTAGGACCCATGAAAATGAAACAGGACACATTGAGAGATCGAATGGGCTAGTTTCTGTACGAACTACTGTCAAGGGACTAAGGGAGGGTTGTTTAGGTGCTACTTAGGTATATAGGGACTATATAGGGCATATGTAGGGGTTAAACAGAAGAATAAGATTAAGGGTCTCTTTAGGGGTCCCTCCTTATACCCCTTAATGGTGGGCGGCGCTACCAGCTAGGAACTGTGGTTGAAGTGCAAGGTTGCGGCGTTTGCAGACCCCTCAACCCTAACTTAGGGCATTTTAGGGCTTCGGGCTTGAAGCCCCAAACCCTAAACCCTAAACCCTAAACTTTTTAAACCCCACAAGGCAGAAAGCAAAGTTCACGAAAAACAAA